CGCATGAAACGCGTTCAATTTGTTTGATTTATATGCTCTAACATGTTATATTGATGTTATTATTGCGAAGTCGTCAAATTCAAGCAGAAATTTGTTGTTTTTTTTATATTCTCTTTAATCCATAACTTTTCATATATTTTTTTATTCGCACAAAAATAATGAAAAAAAAAAACTAAATTATGAATATTTTTCACGTTTCGAATCGAAACACATACCGTTCGGAATGTGTGTTCGTGTACCTGTTTCAGATTGTAATGAAGGAAAATAAATTTAAAAAAAGCAGAACAGTCAAATGCATTTATATTTTATAACAACATAGAAACGCCACTTACGTATACATATATGTGCATATACATATTTTCCGTTTTTGGGCCACAAAAATGTGCACAATATTTGTTGTTGTTATTGTTATTATTATTAACGTTATTTCTTTACTTCAATGTGTAACATCAATGTGAAAAATGTACGGTGCGATAACGAACAAATCAAAAATTCAATCAGTTTCGATTCGAAACGATTTGCGATTTTCGAATGCATTCTCCTCCGTGTTCGATAGGTGCGTTTTGTATGCATAACGAGTTTTCATTGTGTACTGGATTCTGCTGTTTCGTGCTTGCATTTTTGCCCGTTTCTTTGAGCGTCCCTATCTCTTTCCCGCACACACACACATACATATGATATACCCTCTCTTGTACGCGCGTGCATTTCAGTCGCTTTTGCCAGTTCAGCAATGTGAATACATCAATGTGATTCGTGTCTTTCCAAAGACTATAACATATTGCAAACAAGTGAATGTTCGCAGATTGGCAAAAAGAAGTAAAAGAAGTACAAAATAAATGAATAGAAACTCCGTTTTCAAACGCAAAAAACCATTAAATAGTTTTCATTTTTCACCGTGATCACAGAGTTGAGCCCAACATATATACTTGTTGTATATACGTTAAACTCTCTTCATGTATACGCATGGCAAATGCCACATTCATAAATTTATCCAATATTTTTTCATTTCACACAAGTTTCTTCTTTCATGAAATGGTTTTTTTTTTCGATCGTTTCTATCTTAATATTGTTGTATTTTTCCATGTATGTTTGCATTTTTGCAGCATGCGTTTCCGAATACATATATATGTATGCCGATGAGGTCACACACATTGCCATTTGCATCACTCAACGAAATGACTATTAAAAAAATACAAATCTCTGGATAATAATAATATTGCAATCTGTTATTTTCTGCGGTTTTTCAATTAATTCCAAATCGTTTAATTTCCCCAGCGATTATTTATTGGATGTTTGAAGGCCTAGCGGATCGTGTGATCCATCGAAACACTTAATATCTTTCGTTAATAAGTTGATTTATAATATTTGACACCCGTGTGTGTGTGTATGCGTTTCAAATGCTATGTTGGTCATCTAACGGATGTATGCAATATGATTTCGATATCTTGCACGAATATTGATTGGAATGGTTTTTTACCGAGTTGTTAAACATATATATTTTTTTGTCGATTTATTTGATGTTTGTACATTGAAGCAAGACACTCACGAAGATTGTACATTTTATAGCGGTTCAAAACTCTCTATTTGTCTGTCCACCGCTGTGTCAATTTATCTATCCTATCTCATTGGATAGATTGACGCATTTATCTTGATGCGTATTTCAAATATTCTGAATTTTTTTTGCAATTGTGATCACATAAAAGTATGCCGCGTAAATAGCATTTTGTTGCTGAATCATTTTGTGCATTCCTGGAGAAACCACCCAATTTTCATTTAATTTCATTAACATTAAAATATATAATTTTTTTTATTGTTGCTGTTTTCTTCGTTTCACTCTCATTATCGCGATGATCTTTCCGAAAAAGGACACAACAAATATCGTATATCATTGCGACCATGTTCTGTAGATTTCAACAAAACAAATAATCAAGATAATGAAAACATGAACGAATCGGAGATAAAAGGAACAAAAATGTTTAAAACGAACAAAACTTTCAAAATGAACGTAAGCGAGTGAGTGAGAGGCAAAGAGACAATAATCAAGTCTTTGAATTAAACACATCATTTAACCACAATATTAGCGTATTTGCCGAAATTCATTCGGTTTTTTTTTGCTATGCTTGTTATTGTCGTTTATGGACCGACGAAACATAAATTTAATTCTGATTGTGTTTTTCGCTTTTTTTTTATTTCCATAAAACTGTTTTTGGGCAAATGATGATCAACGTATAGTTGCACGCGCTTCTCATTCGTGCTGTATTGACGCGATCGTACATGTTCTCGTGTTTATTTGGTTGGTTCTTCTTCTTCTCTTTGGCCACCAAATATAATCAACATATCGCCATCAAATTATATCGGTATGAATGAAGGATATCAACGACAGTTGGACATAAACAGCAAATTGTAAAAAAATGCATACTTACAATTTCACAAAATGTTTTATTTGATTAGTCGAAATATCGTAAAAATGCTAAACGAATCAAAATGATCTTTTTTCGCTTCGTACCAGGCTGGGAATAAATAAATGCACCACTGCCTGACACCATACAATGGAATGACAAATAAAATGTCGAATAAAATGCAGAAGAAAAGAAGACCAAACAAACTTGTCGAACAGAATGAAAAAGTTCGATTGGTCTTCGTAGCGAATTGCCGAATAAATTATTGTGGTGAATATGTCACTTTATCGCGTCGCGTTTCTCTTTCTCTCTCTCTCTCACTATTCTCAACTCCATCGTTCACTGTACAATCTGCGGCCATGTGTTTACATTCATTTAGATTTAGATGTATTTAAGAAGCGTAATTTATGAGCAGACTGCGTGCACAACCGGACTCCCCAAGCGATTAGTATTCAAATGAAGCATATTAAAACATAGCATTGTATAAATGATGAGAAATGAAAACGTTTTTAGACTACTTGTGCCAGAATGAACACGTTTAAACAAAACGAAAATTTCACAAAATCAGCAAAAATCGCTTCATAAACGATCACCACCAAATACAGACGGGGAGAGAGAAAGAGAGAAAAGGAAAGAGAAATGGCAAATATTATCGATAACGAAAAAGTTCCCACACCATCGATATATCGCCGTTTTTTTTGTGTTGTCGTTTCATTTTTCGCTGTGATCATTTCTTCATTCACATTTATTCGAATTTTGTAATTGTTGAAACCGCAACAATCCGATCATGATATGAATTCTTCTCTATACTGTTCGTCGTTCTTTTGTTCGACTACGCGGCGGCCAAAAGTAAATGTTATCGCTCAAAATTTGTTTAGTTAATGCGACGAAAGAAAGAGAACCGTTGTAGTCATAAATCATCGTTTTTTTTTACTCTCAACTTTTCTGTCTTTAATGCTTACTACGGTCAAAGAATGAAAAATTGGTCAGATCCATTAATTGAAATGTTTGGTATGCAGAAGCACTATGTTTAGCACCATTGTTGATCTTGTGTATGACATAAGCCCATGAGGCGAAATCGAAAACACCATTGCATTATTGAATTTGGTTATTCGGAAAAATCACAGCGTACACCGACATTCACAGTTTGCCGCCGTAAGCTCGTTCAATTCGATCAACCAAACCAACTAACCAGCCACAGCCAGTTATGTCTGTAGCCACTTATTTTATTAGCACCTCAGGCCATCCAAGTCATACACACATAAACTGAACAGAACTGGAGTCAATATAATTCATGTCGGCATACTCTAAAACGCCACCATACACACATTCATGCATATCTTGTCTGAAGCTTGGCTAACATTGCTCGCCAGTAATCAAGCCATTTTGTGCGCGTCACAACCTTGTTTATTGTATTTTATAACTACTCTTCTTTCTTTCATTCACTTTACTTTGCTTTACTTGAAATGTCTAATTGAAAATCAAGGAATTACACATTTAGAATAATATTGGAAAATTACACGGTGTAAACGTGCAATTTGTGAATGGTTTTCGGCATCAATTCCAGCTACATACATATTGCTATTTAACCAAATTGAACAGATAAATAACGAATTGCCCTAGCATATAATATTTCAACTAAACTATTCTTCATCAATTACAAAGTACATTGTTTGTTTTCACTAAAAAAAAACATATCGACACTCCTACACTTCCAAAAATAATTGACGTAACGCTAGACAAATTCAATTGATTGGAAGAGAATGAAAAAGAGAGAAACTTGGTGAAAATTCCGATCGTTCGGCAAACACATCTCCTTGGAATATCACACATTTACTTTTAAGAGCTAATTACTTTGTTTACAGCTCGTTACTATTGTTTATTAATTGTTTTTCGGATTTTGTTTATTTTTTGTTTTTCTTCAGATTTTTTCCCCATGTTTTGGGTTCAACTCATTAAGTTTCGTTTTTTTCTCTCTCTCTCTCCATGCACATGCATTTGTTTCAATTCTTTTTTTTCTTTCGTTCATTTACCGAACGTAATGAATGAAACGTAATTGAATATGAAGAAAAAAAAACGGTTATAAAAATAACACATCAAAGTATATTTTCGAAAAAAAAATTCCTTTCAAAACATAACTGTAGCACATACTCAAAAAATTCAATACAATTAACAATTGAATAATTGTTGTAGAAAAACAGAAAGAGAGATATGCACACGAGAATAAGTACAAATTGTTTGTACGAGCGAATGCACGCTGAAAACAATTGCATTGTTTGATGCATATTTTTTGGCGATTGTTACTGTAACAAATTAAAGAAATGCACGAAATTCATAGAAAATCCAACAACAACAACAATCAACCGTCACTCAACGTTGAAACAACATTTGTGAAATAATTAACGAAATCATATGAATACATTAAACAAAAAATAAAAGCCACATTTAAGATCGAATGAAAAAAAAAACTATGTTGTATACATGAAAAATCTCTTTAATAGATGTGTTAATTAACTGAGAAATTTGTTCTAAATTTTGACGCTTTTGTCTGATAAAATTTTCGATTTTTAATTTTTCTGCTTTTTTTCTCTATCAAAATAGGTACACGGGTCAGGTTTATTTGAGCTGCGATTAAAATACTTTAAAAATGACTATGGAAAGGACGAAAATGGTATGTGTTGCAGTGGAAAAACGGATCCGTCAACGAATCAATGCATCGGAACATGTAAAACACGATTTCGAGCATGTTTGAAACACTATCAGGCCAAAATCGATACGCAATCAGCGTGCACATTTGGCGATGTGGTGACACCAGTTTTGGGTGAAAATTCGATGAATCTCACTGCGCTCAGCGAAAATCTCAACTTTGTTAATCCGATTCGTTTTCCATTCGATTTCGGATGGCCGGTAAGTACATGTTACATACGTCTAAAACGACTCTATGTCTCTTGAATTTAAGATTTAAAAATATATATACATTCATTCTAAACACCGGAAATTAATTCCAAACAACGTTCAAAACGTTGTTCGGAATTAATTTTCGAAAAACTTAAAATGGACAAACATTCATAATCGCCAATAATACTGAAATTTAACGTCTTCATTTGCAAGCGATTTCCCCAATTTGTCACATTTATTTATTGAAAGTATTTGCATACAGAGCTGGTTTCATCATTCATACTCTGATAAATGTAATCCAAACGACAACTGCACAACATTTCTATAGAAATTGACGGATCAATGTGCGTTTTCTCTCTCGCTCTCTCTCTTCGACAAATACACGAAACACTTCAAATGTGACCGTTAAACGGATTAGTTGAAAAAGGGCAACGCAAAATGGGAGTGTGAAAGAAAGAGAAAATAAATATACGATTGTGTTTTGTTGAGCTGGTAACATGAATATGACGAGAGAGCAACGTCACATTCGATGAGGTGAAATGATGGCTAAACATCTGCTGTTTTTCAGGTTGTTTCAAAGAAACAATAACACAGTCAAAAATTCGAAGGGGAACTTCGTATGCGCAATCATACGCACATGCACTGCGGGTACAACAGAACATGCTCTCCCTTTCTCGCTCACTCTTGTCACACTAATCGGTCGTTTTATTTTCAAATTTTCGGACATTGGCGGTGTGTTCGCGCGCGTATTCAAAATAACCGCGTATTCAACGGAGAAAAAAAAAGCGGAAATTACACTCAAGGACATTTAAAAGCGGCCGCTTTTATTCGATTTCAACATGCCGCAATTTACCATCCTTTGATCTTGATCGGCGCACAAGAGATCTGCGGCAATTCGCAATTGATTTCATTTTGACATCGTAAAAACGAGCAATCTCCAGCTTCAGCAACACATGCACGCACACAAACAAAAACCAATCGTCTGCCATAAACGAAAAGAAAAAAAAAACATTCATTCTCGTAAAATCGTTTAAAAAAAATTACGCGCAAAAATCGGTTCCAATGCAGAAAAATTCTTTTACATAAAATAACAATAATTTTTTGGCTGTTGATTAATTGGTAGTCCGTTAAATTTTTTTTAGTATGTCGTTATAGTTTTGTTGTGCAGAGCCCTTTGATCGGCACCCGGCATCGTTTCTTTGGCAAAAAATTAAGTATTCCGACAAGTAACAGTTTTATTGTGATGTGAATTTTTCAGTTTGTCTTTGCAAACTATGAATAGAAGTTCGAAGAGCCTATTGTAAAAGGGTTAGAAAAGGAAACGTGATTCTATGAAACCCCTTATTTGTTTCATTGTAAAATGCATCGAAACCTGAATATACGCTTCATTACCTTCTCGATCAAAAGGAAGACGAGAAAAATGAAAAGAAAAAAAAACAAACGTTAAAATATGCGTCAAACACAACCGATGACAATGATGAATCAAAATGTTCAACGAAAGAAAAACGATGAAGAAATATGTGTGTCAGTCATTTCGTTTCTACAATATGCGCCCCCAACTGCGTTAAACCATTTCAAGAGTCTTCTCTCTGTGTGACTTAAACAGACATAGTAACATTATGTGTGTTTTTTTGGCATATCGATATATGCGTGCAAAATGATACAAACGGAAAGTCCTTCAGATGAACAACAAAAAAAAAGACAGAACAATATGGCGAATGTGCATTGTGTGCGTGCATGTAAAGTCTTTTGTTTCGAGAAATACGCTTTCAAAATTGGTTAATCTGCAAAATGTTCCGAAAAATGGGCACAGCACAGCAGTTGTAAAAAAATGAATCCAAAGCACGTTTTCTCTCTCTCTTCAATTTCGTGATGCTTTGTGACTGCAATGCTGAATGATATAGATATATGATTTGACTGATGCAATGAAATACCGACAATGATCAACATTTCATCACACATGTTTTTTTTTCTCTCCCGAAATCAAGCGGCTCCAATTTAATTCAATTGACAAATGAATCACGCCGTGTTTGTGATAGAATCATCTTAATTCAACTGACCAAATTCAATCGGTATGTTCACAAATCATCGTGCTACCACTTAAATACAATGTTGATTGATGTTGAATATTCGGTTAATTGACTCGATATTAATTTGAAGTTCATGGCATGTGATTCGTCTATAAAATAATAAATGGCTCAATTAAAAGAAAAGAAAATTTATGCATAATTGAACCGTGCAGAGCAGCATATACATCAAAGAACGAGTTAGCATTCATGATTGTTGTGAGGTTATACCAATACCGTGTGTGTGGTTATGTTCTGGATCATTATCGAGTCAATATATCGTCTTTGATTCTCGCGCCGTGCATACAATTCAAAGTACTCATACACACATTTCAAAAAGATGAAGAACACTGGTAACTCTTTTGTCTTCTTTGATCCGAATCGAAAACGTATTTGTTTTACATCGAAATCGAACGATAGCACTGTTTAAAATGCAACAGTGTGTGGTATTTATTGTGGGATAGTACGAAACAAACACAACAGAAAAAAAACACATTCAATCGCTCAATTCGGCAACGAGAATGCGGCAACATGCAATCATATATAAACATGAGACCATTGTATATTGGAATACATTTAATACCATCATCAATACATAATCCACATTATGACTGTATCATTCATTATCTCTTGCGCATTTAATTTAGAATCAATATCAACTATATAGGCTGTGCATGCATGTCGAATAGTGGAGTTCGAATCAACGAAAAGCGTCGAAACATAAAATTCGAATAAACGAATAAACAAACTAACAGATAACAAACATGGATGAAAAAAGACGAGTAAATGAAACGAATGAAATTACATGAAAAAAGGGAACCGAAAAAAAAGAAACAAAATGAAAAACAAAACAGAAAAAAGCGATTTCAGAATTTAAAAGAAAAAAATGTTCTCCCTCAAACCCATACACCGATATGCGGCAACGGTGATGATGGAAACAATTTAAATCTTCTCCACACGTACGATAGTTAAAGATCTTCACTCTACAGCCTTTTTTTCTGCTCCACGCTCGTTTCAATCTCCAAGAATTTTGCACAAAACGAAACAGAATAAGAGAGAGAAAAAACCGACGACGAGCAAAAAAAAGAAGAAAAAAAAACAATAAACCGGTTCATTAATTTGACTGCATAAATCGATGTTCGCATAAGGTGCAGTGAAAAGAAGCAATGCAGATTTCAATGCAACTGACCAGCCGAAAACAAAACATATACACACCAACAATTGAGAATGAAACGTCTCTCTTTCACTCTTTGAACTAAAAAAGAATATCCAGACCAATTTATGCGGTGCTACATTCAGAATGAAACAAGAACCTTCACACACAGTATATGTGCATAAAGCATTGCATTCTTTTGGGATTGAACTAAGATGCTTTTTTTTTATTGAGAAATAAAAAGAAGAGAGAGAGAGGGAGGGAGAGAGAAAAGGGCACACCGAAAGATGATCACATTCAGACCAATAGAGTTTTCGGTCAAATATTTCCGTGCATTTCGTGGTATTTACATTTTTATGGTGTGATTGAGCCGGCGTGCATGCGCACCCAAACCAGAAGAGATTCTTTTTTGGAGTGTGAGAGAAGATGAAAAACATCCACAAGAAATATAAAGAAGATTTTAAGATCGAATTCTGATGGGTTTTTTTCTCTTTCATCTCTAAATATAAAATCAAATGGCTCAGAGAGGGAGAGAGAGAAGAACAAAAATTGAAAACGATTTTTTGAAATTGTAGCCGATGAAAAAGATAAGCAATTAAAAAATATTAATGCTTAAATGAAATAAAATGCTGTACACCTTTTGCTTGATTCGAAATATCTACCATTTCTTTCTTTCTTTCTCTTGTTCACTTCGATGCCTCATCGCCTACTTATAATAATTACCATCCATATCGGACTGATTTCATTGATAAGACAATGTTATTTATTGACGACAGAGAGAAAAAAAACGATGATCATCGCTTCCATTCTACCATGAATGCTTAAACACTTAACAAAAATGCAAAAATCATGCCGAAATAACTTAATTGGAACAACGACACAAACTGGCCATATCAACAATATTAATTCTGACAAGACGAAAAAATGCAACTGGCAAATAGGCGTTAAACAACCCCAAAAGCAAATATTTGCCATCATATCAGCGACATTTATGGAGATACATAAAATGGAATGTATGTATGTGTGTGTGTGTTTGGTCGAAGCAGAAAACGAATCAATTACACATAGAGCGCCTATACCATCAGTGATATGACGCCAAAGATGTTGAATACTATCTACACATATATATCGGCTAACGGCTGCAATTCATTCGGTCGAAATGGATCGCACTTTTGTTTGCTCATCCAACGATTAACTACCTCAATCGTACTGAAAAACCACAAAATGAACTCAACGCACAAAACGTTTTATTTATATTATATTCATTTCTATATTTCATTTTATTATTTGTTCAATTTTACTGAGTCTTTTTTTTATCGAACGTTTATTGTATCCGTTATGTTTGCAGTTGTTGTATGTTTTTCGTTCGTTTCTTTTCTCATTTTATTTGATCGCATTTTATTCTCGGTTTCGTCATTTTGTTTTCGATAATGTTCCGAAGTTGGTATGGAGGTTGATTCCATTTCGATTATTTGCTGTTGGCATTTTTTTTTCGATGTCATGTCTATTTACTTAGGTATCATATTCAAAAAGAAATGCATGTAAACGGCTTGTTAAATTCATTTGATACGCGCTCAGTTGTGCGGTAGAAAAAGACGGCGGCGATCGTTCTTTTTTTTTTTAAATATAAAGCAATTAAATGTGAGCGCACCACCTTGCTTGTCATCGTTGTCATTACAGTAAGCATTTTAACTTAATGGTTTCATCGTGATCGAAAAAAAAAACCATAAGTTTAATCCCATTTATCCATTTAATGCTTTTGTGTATGGTTTCCAAATGACAATGTATGAACAGAAAAAAAATTAGCCAAAAAGTTGAAATCAAAATACCACACAGAAATTATGCTCCATAAGAGACTGTATAAAATGCAAAACTGTAGCACTGCTAGCGCCACTACGGACAACTATGGAGTTCTAGTCTGTTGGTTGCAACTGAGCAAAAGTCTTTTCACTATTTGGCGGCAACTTAGTGTAGATTACATTGAATTCCGTCGTGGCGCTAACAGTGTGACATTTTGGGCATAATTTCGGTACGCAAAATACGGTTCCACACGAAGCGGTCGAAGTACCGTAAAATCACAGCAAAATGCACATACACACATGCACACTGTGTGTAACAGACTTCAAAAATCGATAAAACATATTAACGATCATTTTGTGGTTCATTCTATTCTTTGATTTCAGCGAGGGGTCTTCAATATGTCTCTGTCTCTTTTTCTTCTTTTTTTTATTCGTATAGACGTTGCTCGTTTACATATTAATAGCAAATACATGCATATTATTTAAAATATAACGCCAAACGTTGATTGTTCGCCGCAATGTCTCTGAGCTGAAGGCATTTTGTTTCGTTCAAATGGCAGAGGAAGTGATTCAGACTCATTCATTATTTTGCCATTCATTCAGCCATTACCGAATGCCGATATCAATGACACAATTCATTTCGTCCGTTAGAACTGAAAAGAATTTTGTAGGAAGAGTAGAAAAAAGGTCAGGAGTTCGGCTACTCATTTAAATATTGAAGAAATACGATTTTAATATATCACGACTGATACGAAAATGGAGCGCTTCATTTTATAAATTCCAGTTTCGACCAGAGTAGAACAATTGATTGCTGATTTGTATAAACCATAAAGCATCTCTTCACTATTAAATTTTGTTTACCTATGCGCCATATGGAAAATGACTCAACGAGAACTGTCAAATTTTTTATGAAAACGATAGAGAGAGAGAGAGAGAGAGAAAGATACACGATGATATTTCACAGTTGTTTATTCAACAATAAGCAGGAAGCTAAATGCAGGCGCGCGTTCGCAAGTCTAAAATCGGTTGTGAGTCAGTTAAAAAAATAAAACTGCTTTAAACTGTATTCATAGCATTTCAAGCCTGTTTAAACATAGACACATTGTTAACGCATCTTGGACATCATTAAAACACTCCATTAAAAATTGCGTTCTGCGCTCTTTATGATCTTAATGCACAAAATATAATTTGTTATGTTTTGTTTCCATCTGTTTTGTGGCAGTTTTTTTTTTAATAGGAAAAGACTGCACCAATTTTCCAATTTGTCTGTAAAACAAAACATTCTTTTCACTCAATTCAAAGTCGATTTCGTTATTTCTTTTGTTATTAAAATGTTATCCAATTATACGGTCGTGTTTTTTTTATTCTTCTTCTGTTGTTTTCGATTTAAAATGGTGAGCATTGAAATCGTGACATTTGGTCCAATATTTTCGTTTCTTTTCCCATTCTCTTGTTTTTTTTTTAAGTAGATCATTTATCTAAATAGATTGCACGCGCTCGCACTCTCTGCGCTTAACACGCAAACAAAGTGCCAGTTGACCATGATTATTGATCAATCATATGTTTGAAATGTAATTGTCTTCATGCTGACCGGTCAGAATTCGTTTAAAACATCTTTTATTCATCGCACGGTTAAATTGGAAACGAACAAACAACCAATTAATCTGATTGTTTTCATGTCTTAAACGCGTTGAATTTGAAATTACGAAAATCTATTGTTCCAAACGAAATGTTAACTTGAATAGAAATGAGTAATTAATTTGATGAATGCAATAATAATTTTGGCATGAAACAAACATTACATACATAAATGGATTTATTTTTAATTGGAGAAAATGCGAAGTTGATTGAGCCCACCCACAAATGAAAGCACAATAAAAACAAAAAACAAAACGATACGATGAATTGACTCTCACTCATTATTATAGTTCACGTTTAAGATTACTATAAGCCACAAAGGAGTGAAAATTTTTGGGAATCCGTAAAAATGTGTGTACGTTCTATATGCATTTTTGTTAAGGGCAAACATATGCGTGCATTCAGCGTGAAGGCGAAAACAGCATGGGCACAAGCTCATTTTATGTCATACACAACGGATATTGTCACTCAATGAGCACATTTAAATCGTCATCACTGTGTATAGTTTTTTATTCTCTCTCTCTATCTCTTAGTTAATGCAGCAAAAAGTATTCATTTACTTAACAATAAATCTTTGCGTTAACTAGCCTCCTTTAGAGAAAGAAATATGTTGTTGCTGTAGTAGTTGTTGTTGTTTTTTTGCTTTGATTTCCTTTTCATTCGTGCTCAAAACAAATTACGGTCGTGCCGGAAAATCGAAATCATCGCTCTATAGCAAGCCAGAACATTGTGATGGCATGAACGTTGTTCAAAAGGATAAGACAAAATTCGTGTCTCAACAATTCCGCCGGCATACGTTTACTCTTTCTCTTTTGCTTTTTTAAAAAACGAATCGAGAATTTATTACTGGTTGTTTCCTTTCAACTCCACCGAACTTTCTCTGTTCAAGTACTATGTTGTCGATGAGGAAAAAAAAATCGAATTTTCGAGAGAAAAAAAAAACATTTGACAAAATAGTCACGTAAAGGCAAACGCTCCCCTGTTAATTGTCGATTGTTTACCTGTCTTGCTTTAACAACTCCCTGTGTCTCTGTGTCGGGCATAAATTGCACATGCAATACCAACAGCCGCACCACTCAATAATTCTATCGAAAATGCTGTTGACTTTGCAACGAAATTGCTTTCGTCGTCATCTCATTAGAAGTTTGTTTTATTTCTTTTTAAAATGATACTGAATACAAATTATTTCCTTTTTTTCCTACTTTCAGGGTACATTCACATTAATCGTTGAAGCCATTCACGACGTCAACCAAACAGTTTCACGATCACCGAGTAAGTATACTTTTTTGTTCTACTGTCAATATTCCGTTGCTTTGATACGGTATTGGTTTGAATAAATTTTTGGGGATGGGGTTTCGATTCGACATGTCATTGAACTGTCGATGTGATTCAATTCGAGGAAGGATTTTGCGAAATATAGATGGTCATTAAAAATCATTGAATTCGAATTGCTGACAAAAAGAACAGGAAAATTAAGTACTTTATTGCTAATAGAAGGAACCAATTCATCACGCCCCCCGGAAACATGCACAAACGATGCATTGATGAACATGGAAATTCGTCTGAACAGCCCTTGAACAGAATGGAGAAAAAGAACAAAAATTGCTCAACTACACAATGGTTCGATCTGTTGTCTGTTTTTACAAACGGAATTCATTAACAAAACTGCACTTCAGTCTCAATGCAACGGAAGAAGTTTGGATGAATGGTTCGACAAAGAAATATGATATCAAACTTTCATATTCATCGTAGGCTAACGTTTTTTTTTGAGAAAGAGTATTAAAAAAGCCTTGAATTTATTACGAAAATAAGATCATTTTGTAACATAAATGATGGTTCAGACAACTATTATGCAAGTAAAATACACGAAAGAAAAATGAGCACATCCTACAAACGCTATATACTCACATTATGCTATGAAAGACAAAAGATAAAGGAAATGAAGAAGCGCATCCATTTAGAAAAAATTTAATGTACGCTCATTCCAGCTTATCGGATAATTTATTGGTTCGCAAAGTCTGGATCAATTTTTTTCTCTTTGCTTTTGAAATGGAATAGAGAGCGACAAAGAGACCCCCAGTCGAAGCGCACACACCGATGGTGAAGCCGTTTATTATGTAAATCTGCTTAAAATATCATTTTTTTTCTGATATTTATCATCAGTTGCTCATAACATTAGACGAACCGAAATTAATAATAATAATGTGCACGAAGGAAAACAAGATAGAATACAGGCAAAAATAAGTCCGAATGACTTCATTTAGAGTCATTTAAAAGCGTTAGAAGTTTGTCGAGTTTAATTGTTAAGATGATCAAATTGTGCAAATTAACTTAACCAAAAAAAAATAAGATCGTTTTGATATAGTATCTAGGAAGAAAAAATAATGCCGACCACAAAACGATTTCTCTCTATTCATTGTGTAAAATGCAAGCATATAAATTGAAAATTTTTAGTGTTGTATATCAAAAGTCGCTAGAGCAAAGAGCGTTCTGTGTCTTTTGCTCGTTGGTCGTGTTATATTTTCTTGAAAGATTTATCAAGACACAAAAGAAGAACGCAAATAAAAGAATACGCTATATGTGGATATGCTCTGTGTTTCAAAGCGAAACGTGCTACGAGCATGCAACCCTCTTCATTTCGCTGTTCCATTGTTGTTTCGCTTCAGTTATTGTTATGGTATATGGTTCAAAAACATACACATACACATACACATATTCAGTTTTAGAATAACACAAGACAAACTACTGCAAAGTAAAAATAGAAATAAAAAGTCGAAGGAAGCAAAAATAATTCTCTCTCGATCTACGAATAGAGGAACTTGGCATTGTGATACGTCACGCGTTTGTGCACGATGCAATAGGTAAAAGAAGAAGACGCGCACAACGACACTGATGACAACCGCACAAGAACAATAAATGCAATGAATTTAAGAAAAGAAGCAACACATAAAGTTCTGTCTGCTACCGTATATCCACGAGCATAAATTGTACAACAACAGCAAATACATCCGATTCAAATGCACTCCGGTGTCGGTCGTTCCATTTCAATTCGTACGCACCACCAAATGCACACACACACATTAAGAAAATACAAAACATTCTTTGAATTTAAAGCATATATATGTTCATTTCGACTTAAGACAAAATTACAAAATATGCGCGGACGAAACATACAATACTTTTTTATTATTTTTTTAAATTAATGTTTTTTTTCTAGTCATTTATGTTCGATTCTCTCAAAAAAGGCGCATTTTTTGCTTAATTTCATCTACTTCCACAAGACATTCGGATAATTTCCGGTTAATGTCAAAAACCGACCGCAAAACACAAAATTGATTTCAGCGAGATATGAATTTCGAATGAAGCTACTTAGTTTCGTTTCAATAAGTCTTTCATCACATAAGCTGATTTTACTACCAAATTTTATTCCATTTCACTGATCAAAAACTGCATTCTACGGCCAAGAACATCTCACTTTTTAAAAACGTGTTTTGATAATCTCTTTTAACAATGAAAATGAGAGAAAAAAATTCAAATTACATAATTTGATAAATATACGATACTTGTGAGGCGTAGACACGATCCCAAAAAAAAATACTTCTTTCACAAGTAGCTAACTTCCGGTGAACGGGAATTCAATTAAAATGTATATGGATATATGTGAGTATGTCTTGTGCCATTGTTTCATTCAGCTAAGTATAGTGAGAGAGCGTTTAGCACAGTTTCCAGTGATCCCTATAAAATGAAGCGATGATGGCGATCATTGTTCGAGCGCTGAAAAAAAAGAACAATTTTGTCGTTTGTAACGCACAGTACATTGGGTGGTTGTAGAAAATTAGCTAATCACTTGTAAGCAAGTCAAACTCTCATTGTGCTGTCTGATTAGATGACAGATCTTGATTAAGGTGTAATTACCTTGAGTATAGAGTATATATATCAATGCTGCTGATTGGCAAAGTATCATCGAGCACTTTTCATGTGAAGCGGTCGATTTTAACTTGTCAACTACACATATATCAGATCGGTTGCTCAATTTCAGCAGTCAAAATGTCGAGATAAATCCATCATCAACCGACTTTGCAAGTTTAATTAAAAGTTAATTCTTTTTTTTCTTTCTTTTTCTTGAAAAATTAAAAGTGTTCGGCACTTTAGAACCAACTTCAGAACTGTACATTGACTGATCTAATTTGGTACCAAATTGAGTGTATCGAACAGTGTATATGCATATATTGTGAAAACGTAATGATCAATTTGTGCGAACACACAGCCGTGGCAAAACCCATTGAGAAAACTTTCAAATGGGCATGCACTACACATACGCTCCAATGACCATGCACTGGCATTAATACGGGGAACTGTATCAGCAAGCGCATTTTATAAGAAAGCAAAAACAAAAATCGTAATCATTAATTTTGTGCACGGTTCATAATTTGGACTCTTTTTTTTCTCTTCTGATTGCTTCACATTTGATTTTAAGCTTTCTTGAAGAGAGGTAACTTGTGTGTGTGTGTGGTTTTTTTTGGTGCAGTCAGAATGACTGATGTTATCAAATGCGTTTTCATTCGTTCGATTCATTTGATAAATGAAAAAACGATGCAAACCCATACATAATATAGATTTGCAAAACATTTCCACGAACCAATCGAAATAATCAAATCAGAATTGGGGAAGCGCGATTGCTGTGCGTGCATGCATGTGCGAATAAAATTCGGTGCGCGTTAGTGCGGATATTATTAAAATTAATAATGATGATGAAACATTTGATCATTATGCGATCAACAGTCAATTCAAGCTTCATTTGTAGCAACAACAAAACAAACACGCTCATTCAAAAGTCGTACACACATTTAATAATTAAATAACATGAAATTTTTACACAGTTTATGTGCTTAATGAAAAAAAAGGTGCCTTCAAAGTCTACTGACTTTTCGTTTGGTCATTGCACAAGTGCTGTTCGAAAGAACAAAAAAAAAGAGTAACGATCGAATTATTACGGTATCGTTGATTTTGCAAAATATGATCCAACATGATGAGAAAGGAGCAATATAAAATGGAAAGATCAAGATTTTTATGATGCACAGGTCAGAGGAATAAACGGCGAAACAGAAAAAAATAACGTAGGATACAAGGAGATTTGTCGATGATAAAAATTGAGTACATCACATGCACACAAAAGAGGGGGAAAAAATCTCCGCTTATCCTCATTAAGAAAAAAGAGAGGCTCATTAAAATCTCTTTGGGTTTAATTGACTTAATAATTGATTAACTTCATCGCAGAGTTGACAAAAGTGTTGCTTCCTTTCTTCAAATCGACGATGATACAAAAAGAAACGAAAAAAAAATTGCGTGTTCCAATTCACATAATGTTCAAAATTTGCAAAAGAATTTTAATTACCATCTCTATAATATTTGTATTTCATCCAATTTAATCTTTTACGATGCTATCACATCACAGAATAACGACTGCTATCACATTCTGAACATGGAAGAAGAGAAAAACAAAATTACAAGATTTTTAGTTCAAATTATGTACAACATGATTAGTAGAAACGGAATATAAAATAACAACACATCCACAGCACCAACAGAGATCGAGAGAGAGAGAGAAATAAATTTAATGATTTCAAGTGATATTCTCACCTTTTGCACATTCGACATTACTTTTCATTTCATTTCACTTCACCTGAGATTATTCGGGCTGAGAGATTATCTCTCGTTCGTCTCGTTTATTTTTTTCTTCTTCTTGATTTACAAGCGAATGAATGTTGTTATACTTCGATTTTCGTAGTTCATGTTGCTTTCATACATATATTTTCTTTTTCCATTTTTTCTTCTGTTTTTTTTTTGTTGCTGTTGTTGTTTTTGTTTTTTCGCATAGTGAGTGCCGATTATCTTTTAGTTCAAAAGGAAACATTAATTATATCGCTTTTTTTCGTGTTCGTCGTGCGCAACAAAAATACACGTATTCCATTCAATACACACATATTAAATTCATTACGATCTGTTTTAACGGCAACACAGAGCTATAATGCACTCACGAAACCTCACTCCAGATCAAACATTGAGTCGGAGGGAGAAAGAGGAAAAGAGAAATCGGGAAGAATGCCAAAAGATGGCGAAAAAAAAACACAAAAACACATACAACATTGTGAAACATACAAAATTCATGGCGAAGAGAAGTGAAACAGTGCATTTGGTGTGCTTTATTTCGGCATTGCTTTTGCACAATGATGAAAGAGACAATCTGCATCACACGCAACGACACACACACA